AATTTATAAGAAATATGAAATGCTCTGACCTTCAACAACAGTAGCCCGTCACACGAAAAAAGCTTTTCTTTTTTCACAAAAAGAATCATCGTTCATTCAACCATCGATTACAATATTTATTACCGTATTTCAATAAGCAGTCTGTAAATACAATATAAATACTTCCGAATGCCTGACACATTCTGCACTACTCATTGAAGGTTCCAACAGCTCGCACTTGAACGGGGTTCTCAAAAAATTTCGACGAATTTCCCGAGAAATCGAAGTGCGCATTAAACGAGTCGCTGTTGCCACAAGAGTTTTGCGAAAATTAATCGGAATTTATCCGAAGATGCAACCCGTCAGATACGCAATCCGTAAATATTCCGTGTCGGCAGCACTGCGAAGCAATGTTCTATACAGGGAACCCATTGCTCCAATCGTCGGCAGGAAGCCTGCCTATATGAAGAAGGAGGAGGCCGTGCAGATGATCAAATCTGGTCCGGATTCTCCTACTTCACATAATCTTCTTCACTCATAGAGAATAACACGATTCACCTTTCCAGGAGACATAGTTTTCATTCACGGAGCAGCTGCTACGCCTTTGACTCTGGTGGAAGCCATGACGGAGTACGGCAAGAGGATGAACCTGAGAAACGTGCAAGTCTGTCACATTCATACAGAAGGAAAGGCGCCATACATGGCGAAGGATTGCGAGGGTCAGAAACGTTTCACCATTAAAAAAAAAAATTTCAGAAATTCGTGAAGCGATCACACAGTGCGTAGATAAACCGTCGATCGATGCTTGAACCTGAATGACCGGAGCAATCAAATTGAAAATAACAATCGAAAAAAGTCCATGACATTGCTTTTCCATAAATATTGTTTTTTTGCTTTTGCTGCAATGTTAACACCGTTACAGCAATGACTATTCGTGAAGAAATTCAGAAAATACAGCATTCAAAAGATTCAAAAAGTATCCATCAAGCATTCGTTCATCAAGCCAAATCCGATTTCTATTCATTTAACATAAGATGCAAAAGTAATTCCGCATTTAGAATATTTAACTTGATGAAATTGCGAGGGGACAGTATAACGTATAAAATAAAACATTATTCTCCAATAGTCCCAAGACAGTTGTACTGTAAACATATATTAATTTTCGTAGCGCAAAGAATCCGTTCATTGAAACCTCTATTCATCGAAATGGCTCACCTATACGATTTCAGGTATATTTCGCGGAAACTGCTTCTTCGTCGGGGCGAACAGCAGAGTAGCTGTGAACGACGGTCGGGCAGATTTCGTGCCGATTTTCCTCTCCGAAATCCCACTTTTGTTTCAGAGACGAGCCATAGAGCTGGACGTGGCCCTGATTCAGGTGAAACGCGGAGTTCGACCCTTGCACTTCACACTTTTCTAAACTGCCCATATTAATTGAGAACGATATTATACAAGGTAACTCCGCCCAATGCGCATGGGTTTTGCAGCCTCGGTACGAGCGTAGACTGCGTCAGGGCAGCGCTCACGAACGCGAGGATAATCATAGGTGAATAATCGAGGCACGCCTGTGCAGCCATTTGCAATTTCCACTGAGGTGCACAGCTTTAGC